TGCTAACCTGCACTAAAACATGACTGACTTAGGTTGCCGCTGATGTCACATTCTGCACAAAAAAGCATCACTTTCCCATATGCTGCACATGCACAGGGAATGTCACTAACTTAAAGGAAATCATGTCAGTGGCACTTCTTACAGATAGCATAGAACGAGATTCCCCTGTATTTGGGAAGTGAAGGTATCATGTGATATGGCCTGTTATAATGGGTTTGGACCGTAAAGAAGTTTGTATTTAGAAGTTGAAACATCAAAGGGCTAGCATCCCTTTAAAGGCACAAGAGCATATGGTTCGGGAACAGAAATTAGTAAAATTTCACAATGAGTTCATTCTGCTGCATATTTGCACCTCCTGTCTGGCGGTGACAGCTGTGGTGGTAAATTGAACATGCTGAAGCAGTTCGGCTCTTCCTGCCCTGTCAGCTGTGTCTTAGATAGAATATTGTGTTGGTAGATAAATGGGGCAGAATATTAAAAAAGGTGATTTAAAGAAACAGGCAACAGTAGCAGATATGATGTTCCCCCTTCTGTGAAGAAAAATTCTATTTTTCTATTTGTGAAAGATTCCAAATTAAATTTTAAAGTAAGAACCATCAAAATCTTACATGGCTGTGCATTGCCTTAGTTCACACATCCTGATATTGCCACAGGATTTATTACCCAAATCCATCTGTATTAGAAAGAAACTGCAGGTCAATTATGTTATTTGATTATCTGTGACAACACTGAGAAAAAAATACATCTCTGTCTGGGATTTCTGGGATAAAGACATTAATTCAGACTCATCTTCTGAAGTCCCTTTCACATAGTGCTGGTGAGAGATTTACTACTGCATTTAGTTTTCAATATCTCTTATTTTTGTGAAACAAACTATTTATTTTTAATCCAAATACATTAACTCGAAATAGATATCCATTCATTTACATATGTACAGTTACTGGGTAGATAGCTGCACTAAATGAATAATAATAAAATGAATGAACATACCGTTTATAAAAACCTTACCCAGGTCAATTGCCGTATCTTGACTAGAATGTAATGAAAGATAAAAAAGCTATATTGACTGGATCAACAGTAAATGTTACATAAGAGCCTGTGGAGTCTGTTACATATGAGACTGATAATGATAATAATCCTTGCATTCGATATAATGACTTATCATGTCTTCGAGACATCTCAAAGCGCTTCACAGAATATACAGTATATTTTGTGGGCGAAAAGATTGATTTTTTGGATAAATTTTGATTGGATAAACTTGCATTACTATAGGCTCGACAGGCTGAGCCTTTCCTCATGTGCTGTAATTTCTAATGACATATAACAATAGAGTCAATATAAGAATCAGTAACAATACAGATACCAAGAAAATCTCAATTTGAAATATAAAATACAAATTGACATTTATATAGCACCCTTTACATTGGAAGGACATCCCAAAGCCCTTTCCAGTACTGGGCACCCGAGCTGGGAATGAGAGCCAGGGGTGGGGAGGGGAAAGACGACCAAACATGCAGTCAAACAGCAACGTCTTGAGATGGGCTTTAAACACGGTGAGGGAGAGCGAGTCGGAGAGACTACAGGATGGAGCTCCAAAAGAGCTGTGGGAGAATGGGGCGGATAGGGTGGGGACATAAAGCAAGCTGGTGCTTACTGAACAGTTCCATTTACAAGTAACTGAAGACACCAATAGAAATTTATATTTGCAATTGCAAATAACTAAGTAATGGTAACAGATATTCAGAGATATATGGGAGACTTTGTTCCCATGATTCCATTACTATTTTTCAGGTACAGGAGAAGTAAAGTCCATTTCTAATGTTGTTTCAAACGTCTGACGACATCAAAACGCTTGTGTTACCTCATCAGAAATAACTAGGTTTTAGTCCCTGTGTCTATATAAATTCCAGCTATGCTGGTTGGAATAAGAATAATAATATTTGCATTTGATATAGTGCCTTGTCACGCCATTGAGCAATCTCAAAGTGCTTCACATAATATATTGTAAAGTGGATTGACTGTGTATTTTGTGGATGAAACATGGCAGCCAATTGCACACAAATAGAACAGAATAGAGCCATTATTGCAACCCTGGCATTACACATTTTCTCAAATGATTGTACATTTTGCAGAAGAATTTTCAAGTTATGAATTGTGACTGTACTTTCTCACCACAGCAGACCTTCCTCTTGGGGGTGGAGGGGGGAGGTGGTTGGAATATTTTGTGCAGAGCAGCAGTGAAGAACTCCAGGCTGCTGTATAGGTGCCTTTTTTTAAAATAACTTTCATTTTCCTTTCTCTAACGCTCAAGCTGTTGCAAACAAAGTTGTTTCAAAGAATATGCACTTAAAATGAGTGCAAGATAATATAAAAACAGAAGTCGCTGGGAAAACTCAGCAGGTCAGGTAGCATCTATGGAGAAAGGAAAGTGAGTCAACGTTTCGGGTCACAACCATGGCTCACTTTCCTTTCTCCATAGATGATGCCTGACCTGCTGAGTGTTCCCAGCGACTTCTGTTATTGTTTTCAGATTTCCAGCATCTGCAATATTTTGTGTTTGCTAAGATAATATAAGTTCATCAGACAAGATTATTCTGCTGACTCTGAAGGAACAAGAACTGTGAACCTCTGGGAAGCAAGAGAATTTCAACAAATCCCTCGCCTGTAGAAAATAAATAACTGTATAATACTGAAAAACTAACAACTTGCAAAATTGTTTGAATGCTCGTTTAGAGGTCTGTTTTCTTTCCTTTCAGAAAATAGAGCCAAATCTAGTGTTGATATGGAAGTGAAACCTGCACATTTCCAACTTCTTCCAATTTATTTTCAAATCTTTGAGATAAACATTGCAAAGATAGGTTGGGATTGATGGGCTAAATGTCCTTTATAATAATAATGATAATAAAAATAAGTATCCTTACATTTGATATAGCACATTATCATGTCTTCAAAATATTTCAAAGTGCTTCACAAGATTTACTGTAAGGCGTAGTGACTGTGTATTTCTAAGCGAACGTGGCAGCCAATTTGTCTTTAGCAATGTCCCATAAACAGCCATGAAGCGAATGGGACATTGTTGACTAAGACACTGGGAAAAATTCACCTTCTTTTTCAAATAGTGTCATAGAATCTTTAATGTCCATTTAAACAGGCAGATGTAAATCTCAAAACTTCAATCCATGACAGTTTGTGGGACACTGCCGTGCGCAGTTGGCTGCCGAGTTTCTCCCAGTCATTCCACTTTACAATATATTCTTTACAGCGCTTTGAGCAAACAATTTTAGGTTCAGATATCACAGATATATCTGCACACAACAGTACAAAACAAGCCACACGCTGCTGGGTTGAATTGGTTCTTAAATCCAAAGGACTGTGATTTACTATATTTCTGCCACTAGATGGAGATAACTCGACGGTGCACAATTAAAGTGGAAGAAACGCCAATGTTCAAAAGTACTGTTGAAGCTCCTCCAGTACTACACTGGAGCGTTAGGCTAGTCTGCGAGCTAAAATTCTGATATGGGGCTTGAACCCAAAAGGTTCCTTTTTTTTGGTCAGCTGGTTGTCCGACACACGCAGAGGATTTTTAATATTAAATAATAATAATCCTTGCTTTTGATATAGCACTTTATGTCTCAAAGCACTTCACGGAATATATTGTAAAGTGGATTGACTGTGTACTTTGTGGGCCATTCTTCACCTGAATGGGCAGATGGGACATTAGTTTAATACAGCACTCTCCCAGTACTGCATTGAAATGTCAGCCTAGACTAGGAGCTCAAAGTGCTACCCAAGAGAGCCAGGCTAGCAACTGTTTAACACAATGCATACCCTCAGTATGATATCTTTTCCTTAGAGGTTTTCTCAGTAAAATCATGGGAATAAGACTCATGACGTATTTCAAACTTTGGGACAAGACCATTTTGCAGTAAGAAATTTCTTAGCATTTGTCCCAGTTCCATACACAATATTCAGGATCATTATTATCTAAAAAAATATGACCTAGCTGTATGCTTTGCAAAAAGTGTACACCTTATGATCAAAAATTCGTGCAACAAATATACTTCTATTTAAGGATAGAGATGGTGTGACAGAGTTTCCTTTCATCTTTTGACAATTATTTTGCTGCAAATACCAGAAGAAATAGCAGATCTGAAAGTGCCTCACAATTTCACTTTCTCTTGTTGTTCAGACTGCTGCACCAATGCATCACTGAATGTCACCACATTCTAATGTTTAGCAATCTGCACCACCGCTAAAGATTAGGCTAATAAGAATAATGTAGTTAAAAAGTGACAGGTCCTGTCAGCTTGCTCGCCTCTGACAGACTATTCGTGTGCATTTATCACAGAAGATTGTCAACATCTGTTCACCGTCTGTCTACAAGATACCTGCTGAGTCTCTGCATACTAAGAGACAGCAACAATGGTCCCAAGTAGCGTGCTGCTGAGTAAATGCATCTCCACTTTCAGTCACTTTAGCATAGGATTTAATGTTTGGATATCCTACAGGGAGCAGTCTGATTCCTCCTTTTGAGAGAATGCACCCTTAGAGGCAGTGCAGAGGAGTTCAACAGTGCAGAGGAGTTCAGTGCAGAGGCTTTTCAGTCTTGAAAAGCAATGTCTCAGAGGGGACTTTACAGAGATATATAAGATTTTAAAGGGGTTCAGAGAATAACTCAGAACAATCACGTCAGAACCTTCAGTACAAGGTTTATTTGCATTTGATGTACATGAATTAAAATGAAATATTGCAAATGATCTGAAGACTAAATGTTTCCCATCTGACATTATAGAAGTTGATTCATCTCTCTCTGCACATGTCTACCAAAGGCACTCCCCATTCAGTTAATTTGTTGTAAAAANTATGCTGGACTTCCTAGAGTAAATTACCCCCACTGAAAGAACGTGAACAGCAATGTTAAGCTTTATTAAACCATAGCTACATTTGGTGAATGGGTTTGACATCTCTGCTAATGAGGTCAATTAAGTAGTACTTACCCACAGCGAATGATGTTTCGCAGTGGTAGTAACCATTTGGTTGTTTTTTCTTCAACATGGAGCAAAGATCTAGGCGGCAAACAATCTCGTCTCCAAACCAATGATCTTCGAAAGACTTGTACAGCTTTGAATCAACCTTCTTAATACCCTGTAGGCAGGAAAGATAAAAACGGCTGTCATTTCTTCTGCTTATTATGTTATTTATCATTTCAAACAACAAATACTTTAGACTTATTGTGTTTTTAAGTTTCACCTCATCTGTGGATAGTGAACCGCTACATTAACTTTTCTTTAAAACCAAACAACCAATTTGCGCATAGCATTATCCCACAAACAGAATTGCTGGCCAAGACATCTAGAGAAACTTCCTGCTCTTTTCAAATAGTATTATGGGATTTTTAATGTCCACCTGAACACGCAGATGGAATCTCAGTTTAACATCTATAATAATAGTAATAATAATCCTTGCATTTGATATAGCGCTTTTCATGTCGGGAGGACATCCCAAAGCACTTCACAGAACACACTGTAAAGTGAATTGACTGTATATTTGTGGGCGAACGCGGCAGCCAATTGCGCACAGCAATGTCCCACAAACAGTCGTAGATTGGAAATGACCAATTTATTATTGTTTTGTTTTTTGGAGGGATTATTATTAGGCGTGGGGAGTAAGGAAACTTGCCCAAGGTTTCTGTACCCTGATTGGGAATCATTCTAAGTCTATTTATTTGATCATTTATATAGTCTGCTGAGGAGACATTCCAAGGAAATTAACAATACAACAGTAATTATTTTACATCGGGAGGACCTCCCAAGGCACTTAACAGTCCTGGCTTGGCATCCGAGCTGGGAATGGGACCTAAGGGGAGCGGGGAGGGGAAAGATGATCGAAGACGCATGGGTCTTGAGGCAGACTTTGAAAGACGTGAGGGAGGGAGTGAGTTGGGAGGACTCTGGGATGCCGTTCCAAAGAGTGAGGGCAGAGGGCTGAAATCCCAGTCGCAAATGGTGGGGGACATGAAGCGGGCTGATGCCCAATGAGCAAAAGGAGCGGCATGGTTGGTACAGTTTGAGGAAGTTGCAGATGTAGAATGGGATAAGACCATGGAGGGGTTTGAAGGACAAGGATCTTGAACTCGATCTGCTGAAGGATGTGAAATCAACGGAACTGGGTGAAGGAGTGGGGTGATAGGCTTCAGGAGCCTAGTGCTGGAAAGGTTCTGAAGAGTTCTGGAAAGTATGCAATGTACTTAACAAAATACACTGCTGTTTGAATGAGAAGCATAATCACTTTATTTGCTCTTATTTGCAAGGGATAGTAGCTAAGGCTTGATATAACATACGGGAAATTATTCTGCTCAGTTTGTAGATAATCGTGAACTATTTCTGCTCTGCTGACTAATTCGTTTGAATTTGCTTCCAGGAGCATAAAAATAATAATTTTAATTTAAAAGTATAATTTCCACTTCACATCTTTTGTTACGTTGTACGTTAAACACAGGGGCAAATTTGCTAAATACATTGCACAGAGCAGAGTAACAATTAGTCCACAACAACAAACTCACTTCATTTAGGTGAACAGAACAGCAGTGAAGGATCTACCCTGCACAGAGAAAACAGAAGCCGGAACAAATCCGGAGGCATTCTGTGGGACTGGTAATGGAGGAAGGTTCTTTGAAACTTAGCCAGGTTTTAAAATCTGACGTGTTAAGCTGTAAAACATGGCTAGGTTTGAAATGGAGAATTCATGTCTGTAAAATGAAAAAAATAAGGCTCCTCATGCAAAATAGCTAATCCACATGAATTTATGTCTATAACAAAAGCAAAATAACCAATTGGTGCCAGGAAGTGAAAGATGCTTTGATGACAGATCGCTATCGGGCCACCCTTAATTCCCTCTGTTCACACGAGTTTGAACATTGTTTGCATAAATTCCAGAATAGAACCACCAATTTATGAATAATTACACACATCATCTGTAACATTTCAAAAATCTTATGCTATTCTAATATTCATTATGTGACAATGTGTTTAGATTATTCACAACCATTAAATCAGGTTTCTGCTACTTCACCAATAACTCTGGTCTTACTCATTCATGATTAACAACAATCTCACAAACTGAAATAATGATATATCTCATACAGTTTAAAGCAACATTTAAAATGATGTGAGCTTTATTTAAAGAGAAATTAGTAGTAAATGCCCTCACCCTGTGTCAGTGTTAACAGTTGTCTATCTCTGCCACGGTGCAATTGCCACGGAGTTGTAATAAAAAGTCTTCTACAAATGAACAGTGACATAGAACAGGGTGTTGGTGATGCAAAGTGCAGCGCCATACAGTGGTCGGGTGTGCTGTTGTGTGCTCAAATCACCAAAGCGTTGAAATATCAATAACAAATATTCTCAGGTGATCTTTCTCTTTCTCCTGCAACCGTTCTAGATCAGTATATTGGCAGAGCAGCCACCCATGAGGAGTTGCAGAAGGCAAGAGAGAACAACCTGAAACTTGCCAAGGGGGAAGCTGAAAGAGATCTAGGGATGTTAGTTGACACGATGCTCACTATTTCAAAACAGTGTGAGGCTGCAATAAACAAGGTAAACAGGATGCTAGGATATATTGCTAAATCAGTCGAGTTCAGATCTCTAGACATCATTCTCAGGCTCTACAGTGTTCTGGTAAAATCGGACCTTGAGAACTGCATGTTACCGTGACACAGGCTGTCCAGACCCTAGAGGCAGTACAAAGGAGAGCAACAAGAACGATCCCCAGGGTTAAAGGAGTGAGCTATGAACACCGACGAAACAAACTGGGGCTCTTCAGTTTTGAGAGAAGTGAACCTCATAGAGGTCTATAACATTTCAAATGGGATTAAAAAGTAGAACCAGATCAATACTTTAGGATGCAACAAGACAGTAAGATAACAGGATGTAGGTTTAGCTTTGTAAAGGGGAATTTTAGATCCCAGGGCCAATATATTTTTCCTGAGATGCAGTGCAGTAAACTGAACTCAGTACTCCAGATGGGGTCTGAACAAGGCTCTGTACAACTGAAGCATTACTTCCCTGCTTTTGTATGCTGTCGGTTCCATCTGCTTTTTCAAGTGGACGTTAAAGATCCCATGGCTCTATTTGAAAAGACTTTCTCCCAGTATCCTGGACAACAATCCCCCAGACAAAATTGGTCATTCACTTCATGGCCATTTGTGAGAAACTGCTGTGTGCAAATTAGCTGCTGCCTCTTCAATAAAATAAATAAACCTTAAATTTCAATTATATTTAAATTTAAAATTACATTTAATTTAAATTTAATTCAGCAAATCACAGGATTTTACTGTAAAGGGTGTTGTTTTATAGGCAGACAATTTGGACACAGCCAAATTCCACCATATTCAGCTGAGTAGTCAAATATATAGAATGGAATAGATCCAAAGAAATTTTGTGGCAGAAAATCTTGCTCAAAAATAGGACACTATAGAGAACATTGCAATGAACTTTCAAAACATAAATAATTGCTAGATGATTAAAAATTAATTTAAAAAGGCTTCTAATTTAAAATCATGGTTATGCATTTTCTGAAGTAACAATTTTCCCAGTAACACTTACAGATCAGGGCTTTATAAATAATTTACTATTCAAGTGGTAAATGTAAATAATCCATTAAAGTGGAAGTATAATTCAATGGGTAAGTGATACTTAACAGTAAAATAGTTGCAAAAATCGTCCAAATACTCTTCGATGATGAATAATAATAATCACAATAATAATCCTTGAATATGATATAGCACCTTATCATGTCTTGAAGACGTCTCAAAGTGCTTCATAGAATATATTGTAAAGTGAATTGACTGTATATTTTTGGGTGAAACGTGACAGCCAATTGCGCACAGCAATGTCCCACATACAGTTGTGGATTGAGTGACCAAATTATAATTTTTTTGAAGGAATTATAACCCCCCAGAAAAGCGATCCGTCAATCAACTAACAACTGAGTTCCTACTTACTGCTAGGTAAATAGAGGTGTGTGGAATAAGGAAACTTGCCAAATGTTTCGCCAGCCAGGAATTGGCCCAGGTCCTCTCGCTTGCGAATGCTCTAACCAATTCACTATGCTACAGGACTCCACAATACACTACAGGACTCCTATGCTACATATTATCGACGAATGCTCCAGGTCACTCAGTACATAAATTACAAATTACTATATATTACATACCTAAACTGGCCAAAATAAAGTATTTTAACATAAATCAATGAGAACAGTGGAAAACTACAGTTTATTTCAGCTGTGTAAACCTAAGCTACTATTTTGTGGACATTTTGTGTGCAAATTGACTGCTGCATTCGCTAACAAAATACAACCTTGCCACATCAAATACAAGGATTATTATTACTATTGATTTTTTATTATTTATGCATAGGATTGATGAAACCTGATTTTTTTTTCTGATTTTCCTCACTTGGGGGATGCAAAACTGAGACAAATTGACAAATTCTCCTCCACTGAAAAAAAACACAGTTGCCTTCTGAATTGGCTAATGTCACGCATGGCTCCTCTGGTGAACTGATTGCTTACCTGTTCCTCATCGGTTTAAGCTCATGTTGTTACTGGACACCGTGTGTCCAATGACTTGCTCAATCGCTCATCCATTGATCCTGCTCAGAATCAGCAGTCCGCGCTCACTATGTTATCGACACTGTGGCTCTATCAACAGTGGCTCAATCACTCAACCATCGATCCCTCTCAGGATCAGCAGTCCAGGATCACGTTGTTATGATACACTATCGACTGGCTCAATCGCTCACTCATCTCACGCTTTTATCATTCCTGGAAGCCAAGAATCAGTCACAGAAATCCGAGGCTCCTCTGCTGCCTCAGGAAAAAACACGTGTTTCAAACACCTGATGGTGAATCATTCTCACTACAAGGACGTGTTTTTCAGCTCTTCTGCTCAACATGTCTAAAGCTCAGAAGTTTTTCAATTACTTATTTTCCCCTCTTCTGACATGAAAAAAAATAGATTTTTAATTGAAGAAAATTTATTTGAGTCGGATTGCGGAACACTGCAAAAAAATTATATTTGCCAAATTTATAAACAGGTGGATTGCTTCACTTTGAAATTATGCACTACAGCTTTTAAAATGTAT